CTGGACGCGCTCGATGCTCATCGCACTCCTTGCGCCAATTGGCATATGGCACGCGTGTCAACCTGTGCCTTGCTTGAGTACCTTCACCTGACATCTTTGCCGCACTTTGCCCTAATGCTTCTCTTGTCTCTTGAGCACTCGCCAAGCTTTTGGCATTCAACAATTCCATCTTCTTGTCGCGCTTGAGGATCTCTGCGTAGAACTTCATCTTAAAGCCACTGCCTGATATGCTGAGAAATAGACACGCTGCCCTCAAAATTGCAAAAGAAGAATCCTTAGTCAACTCTACTCCATTCGCCAAGACTTTGTCTACAACCATTGGGCTCAATTGTAGTTCACAATCAAGGTCATCATCGTTCTTTCTGACCTTGTACGTCCTTGTCTGGTGGAGTAGGGGTGATCTTCTCGATTGCCTGCTCCGCTTCTTTCTTTCTCTGCTCTCTGTTCTCAAGCTTCTTGTATCCTGGCGCGCAGAAACCCATATTTTCTGGCGGCGCTGGCTCATAGATGAAGATTGCGAATTGCGACTGAAGGAATGACTGCATCATCATCAAAGAAACGCTCATCAAGTTCATTCTTTTCATCATGCGTTCACAATATTCAAGCGTTAGCCATCGACCTCCTCTTTTCACCAAAGTGGTTCTCGACAACTCTGGTGATTTTCCACTTCTGGAATGACAGTGGGACACACAAATCTTGAAGTCAATAAGCTTCCGGCTAGCAGTCCATGCTCATTGAAACTCCAACCTGATTCTTTCTCCAAAGCTTCAGGTACTTGCACCTCCAAGCAGCTTTCATCTTCATCTCGAATGACTCTAATGTGGCCTTGAACTGTCAAGGAGCAATTGCGCAAGTTGAGCAGCACCTTCAAGTCACCAGTTTCCAACATTTTCTCTCTGCTATATATTCCCAACCGTGTTCCGAAGATCACATTCTCTTTGAGAAGAACTTCTCGCCCATCAAGGTCGCGAAGGAAATTTCAACCTTCTCGCAACCCCCCCCTGGGGACAGATTCCCCTTGGTCTTTGCGCTGAATGCCAACTCTCCTCCCCCATGATCTGCCATTCCTCATTCCCTTCCCCAAGTCTCCCCACCACGGGTTCATCCTCTGAAATGTCAACTTCTTCTGCTTCCTGGATCTCTGGCTCATCATCATCATCTTCTTCTTCTTCATCACCATCATCATCATCATCAGTTAGTTACTCGATTTCCCTGATCTTCTAGCCCACCATCCCTGTCTCGCAAGTCAACGATGATGACCCTAATTTATTCTCTGCTGAACTACCCTGTTGGCTGACAGTGGCACGTTGTTGACCAACTGTATGGATAGTAACTGATGCCCCTCCTGAAGATGAATGGGCTGGATCACTCCCTACCTGTCGAATATTCCTCCAACAATCTCTGACAAGATGTCCAGGCTTTCCACAAGCGTAGCACGTTGCCACACCTGTGCCTTTCTGGTCTTTGCCTTTGCCCCTGTGATCACCTTCCTTTCCTTTCTGGTCTCCTTTGTCTTTCCTTCCTCTGCCGCCTTTGCCTTTAGCATCTTTACCTTTGCCCTTTTGATGGTCATTCTTGCCCTTCTGGCATTTTCCCTTGGCATCTTGGACTCGATCAATGTCCATTGGCATAGGTCCCTGGTAGTCTGTACTGCTACTAGCCACCATGGAAGAGCCCACTTCTGCTGAGAACGATCCCATTGCAACACTTGTTCCCTCAAAGTTGGGTTAAGGGTTCGAGTTGTCCACAAGAAGGGTTTGAGTTGTCCACCTACACATCTCAAAAGAATAGCAGATTTGAACTCTTCCTGAAGTGTCGCCCCTGCCTTAACTGTACTTCTTCAATCTTCAGAAGTTGAGGTTGTAGTGCACTGTTCGTTGAAAATGCTGGCCATGTAGTGGCTGCTCCCAAAAGTGCCAAGCCTCTTGCCTTTGAAGTTGGTTTCAAAGCTTTGGTCAAGCTCCTCCACGCGTCAAATCCATTGGAGTCCTCCACAGCTTCCACCAATTGCAGCGCTCTTCCCCTTATCAATGAAGCCAACAATCTATAAAGCTTGATGCACCTGGTCTTCTCCTCTGAAGTTGCCAAATCAAAGCTCTCGTTTGGCTTTTCATGAGTTCCTTCAAGTCCTTCACGTAGCCCTCGTCAGCTGCACTCAAACATTTTCCAAAGACCCATAACCACTCTCTGAGTGCCTTGATCTCTTCTTCTTGTGACTTATAGTCAAAAATGTTGGGCTTCGCTATCAATTTTGAACAATCAGTTGTTGATGACTTCTTGTCTTCAGCTGCTTTCTTTACTGCCTCAGCTGCTGATGCTGTTGCCAGCGAACTCTGCGCTATAGCTTGAAAGATTTCTCTGGTCTCCTCCATCTCCACTTCGCACTAATGTCTTTCTGACACAACGTACGGGGTACAAAGTGTCGCTCACAACTGTATCACCAGTCCAGCCGTTTGGGTTCCAAAGGCCCCAAATCTATGGCTCGAAATCGCACCCGGGATCCCAGTGACCTAGGGGGCGTTCCTTTTTTGTGGAGCTCAACGGGGGATACCCTTATCCTCGCTCCGCTACCACGCGAGCTTTTTCCTATAAGCAAAAGGGCTGCGGTCCAGTCATCTGTACATTCTGCAATGCTGATTATGTCATGTACAATCATGTTGATCTACAAAGAAATGTTCTACAAATATACAAAAAATGCATGTATTCAATTTATATGCCCTTGTCATTAAACGATGCATGTTGAATCGCAAACGACACTTGCAAATATAAACCAATCAGTATAACCCACCAGCCCCATTCTCTCTCAAGATGCCTTTCGCAGCCGTCACTAGGAGAGCCCCGCCGCCAGCTTTGTCAATCTCTTCTGAGCTGGCAGAAACAAACTTGCCTTGCCTTTGCCCTGGGTCCTCTTTGGTGCCACCTAAACCAGCTACAAATGTCCAAGCGCCCACAAGGCGGGCAAACCAGGAATCGATGTGGCCACTGCTGCAGATCCACCTCCGAAAGGGTGGCAAAGGACACAGCGGCAGCGGCAGCCCAATCACCCCCTCAATCCAGAGTCTGCAAGCAATCTCAAGGACTTTGCAGGCCTTGACGGTCTCAATCAGCAGTCCAATTGCGCTCATACATGTATACAGTATACAGGTAATTACGCCGAGAGGCGTAGGTTCGGGGATTGCTGAGATCTAGGGCGAACCCCGGTGAGGTGAGGACGCAGGTGGAAGAGCAACCGAAACGCAACACGCAAGTGCAGAGCAGAGAAAGCCAACGCAAAAGCCGCAAGCAAAAATTGCTCAGGAGGTAAAGCGCGCTCGAGTTGCAATGAGCCGGACCCCACCAACCAGCGGATAAACCCCAGTGCAAGAGCCTGAAAACCTCAGTGAGGACCCGGCGCGTGTGGAGCTTAGATAAGGCATCCGCGGTCAAGATTGTCTGCCATAAAAAGATTATTGACAATGAAAAGATTAACAAAAAAGAGCAAAAACAAAGATTAAATCCCATAGAATATTACACATATTGAATATATCCATCCAATTTCATGGCGGATGAAGAAACATCATCCTTTTGGCGCGACAAGTGTATTCCAACCTGTCAATGAAGAGCTGGCAGGGCTCTCCCCAAACTGAAGCGCGTCAAAACCCACAAAGGGGCAGTCACAGTTGGCTTGCGCTCCTTTTGCGAGCGCGCTTCCCACCTGATTGCTCTTTCAACTTTTCGAGCATTTGAAAAAACCAGTGCAGCTCTTGCGCGTAGGTTGAACAACCTGAAAGTTCCCATGAATTGCCAGTTTGTGAAAGTGGATGCTAATATATCATGGACGGCCTTCACTTTCAAGTTTTGGTATGCAGTAGTTTGGTTGGAGCCCAAGTGGCGAACTTTTTACGGAACATTTTCGCGATATATTCCTGGTTCACAACAAGGTCGAATTTGGAAGCGTGGAAAGGAGCCGGCGTGGGGCTTCAATGCGCACGCCGGTGAGAAAGGAGTTGTACATTGTCCTGACAGGAGTGGTAGAAGTGCCACTCTGTTGACCTTTTTGTTCGCCAGAGGAGTCTTGTATAGAATTTGGATGTGGACAGCAGCAAACAGAGCTGCGGCACTCTGGATTGATTTTCAATCAGGCACCAAATGGAGATCTGCGAGTCTCTGGATGTTGGAGTTCATCACAAAGCCACTGGGTTTCACCAGTCAGCACCTCACCCAATGCATAGTTTGCCCGTTCACCATGCTTGGCAAAAAGGTTTGGTTGCAAGAGCCAAGCCCTTGTGCAACACTAATCCACTTTTGCTGAAAGAAACGGCGTGCATACAGCGGCTGCTTTCTGCTAGACGTGCCATGACTTACGCAGCCAAGTTTTGAACTGGTCCGTCGTCCCCGGTCTGACTGCGCCACATCTAGAACTCATCTAGAGCGACTTGAACGTTGCAGCAGCATTGATAGACTGGATTCTGTTTGTGTTGGGTAGGAAGGAGGGGATGGAGGAGGATTAACCTTCAAATCTTCAAACATTCGCAAGCTCTTGCGGCTGAATTTGTTTGTGAGATGGAAAGTCCACACTTAGCGGTTCGAGCTACGCATGCAGAGGTGATAGGCTAAGCCGACGGACAACCTAAAAAGGCTGATGCTTCTGATGGCTCCTGTGTAGCGCCCTGATGGCTCCTGTGCGTCTGATGTTTTAGTGCCGATCCCGCGAAGAAGAGTATCCACTTCTACGGCAACGACCGGAGGCCATCGGGGAGTGAAAAACTCAGTCTACCGCGGCAAGCAGCGTCTTTGATCGCAGTATACGCTGTGATTCCCGACGCCTGGAGGAATACGATAGACGACGGACCGTGAGCTATAATAATGTGTGCCATTACGTCTTAGAAGCAGAAGCCACCTACATTTCAGGTAGGTGGCTGGGCGGGTGGGTGAGGGATATAATGACGTTTGTTGTGGATGCTATGGCAACAACACGTGAAATGAAAATATTGAAAAGAAGAAATGTGCATCACGCTGCAGCTGCGATTTAACGACAACATGTCGAGCTCGCAAGGCTTCCAAGCATATGCACTGTGCAAATTGCCGCAGGTCACTCACCACACCTCGACCTTGTTTTTGGAAAGCGCCAAAAAATCCACAAAGCACGTCATTAGCTGCGCCGAATACACGCGCGCATACGCGCGCCTTTTCTCGGCAGACGGTGCCGAAAGCGCCGTGGAGTTCGACATTTGTCGGAACCCAGCTTTCGGACTGGCACAGTGTTTCTGCCCTCACACGTGCTCACGGACCTTCGTAGCACACCTCAGAAGTGTCAGCATGTGTCAGCAGCTTTCGTGATGCACACCAGTCGGGCACACTCCAGTCGGGCAAGTAAAACGTAGACCGAGACAGACCGCACATGACCACACCACAGGAACACACGGGGCGTGGCTTCCAAGGCACAGCTTCAAAGGCCACTGCGGTCATCTGCCCCCGCTTCTCGAGCGACCTGCAGCGATTCTTCACCGTTCAACGAGCTCACTGCATTATCTAAACTAATATAGTGATGGCCTCCAAGCTAATAGCGACGGCCTCCAACCTACTAGCGCTGGCCTCGAACCTAATAGCGATGGCCTCCAACACTTCATCTCACTTAGTACGGCTGCTCGGTTGATCTTTGCTCTTTTCGGTTTCCATGTCGAGGACTTGTTCCTCATGACACACACACACACACACTTCGAACTTCGATCTTGGGTTTTCAGTTAGACTCAATTGCCACGATGGGAAGAATGGTGAGGGAACAGCAAGGCGAAAGGGTCGATGACTTGTATTGTTTAACACATGTTTCTCTCACGCGCCTGAAATGCAGTGCACAAGTTGCTGAAGAGTGCGGCGGGAAACGTGTTTGCGGGGAAGGTATCATGCGAAACCACCATGAATCAAAAAGCGGAAAAGGAGGGTAACAGCTTGTGAAGCACTTTGCAGGTACGTTCTCAAGGCGTCCCTCGAGAATATCCTGACGAATGGCTGGAGCTTCGTTGGATCAGGCCAAGCCACACGTCCCTGATCCCCCTGCCTGTGGAAAAGTGGTGAAAGTGGGGAAACCCTTAGAACCAGGGGTTGACACACACAATACGCCGTGATCGGCGCACAGAATGCGCGGTGGAAAAACGGATCTTTTTCTCAAAAACCGCCTGCACTCTTGCAGGTCATGCCCTTTTTGGGCGTACAGGTTGACCAGGGCTTCAGCCGCAGCGGTGGCGTTGGTGGGTGGAAACGTGTAGGTATAGATGGAGTGAAGTGTTGAAGCTAAGCCGGACAGAGCCAAGCGCTGGCTACCGGCGCTGGTGTGGTCCCGGATTTTCCAGGATTGGGTGGGTTGAATGTATGTGATTGTACGTTGCTGGAGGTCAATGTTGAAACCCAAAAGGTGAAAGTCTTCCACCGTTTCCAATTCGACAGGATCGCCGAAGAAGTTGTTGTGGATGAGGGTCTGGATGGCGGGATGTGAAAGGAATTGTTCATTGTGGACAATGAAGCGGTTGTCCACGTAGCGATAGTACGCGAAGTGGAGTGCAGTGCGTTGAAGGAGATTGTTGTGAAGCTGATGCCAGGAATGTTCAATGAGAGTGATAGCAACGTTGCAAAGGGCAGGGGAGAGCTGGGAGCCAATCCCAGCTCCCCGAATTTGCTTGTAAGTGTTGTTGCATGCCCGGAAAATGCAAGTGTCAAGTGCATATGCCACAATGGTTGTAATGTCCGCAGTGTGGATGGAGCGCTGTGTAGGGTGGCGTCGGTGGTGCCTGCCGATGTGGGAATGGTGAAAAGGGTTGCCTGTGGCTTTGGTGTCAACAGTAAGAGTGTGGGTGTGGTTCTGGCGTTGCCACTGCTGGATGAGGGAGTGGACTGCATCGATTAGGCGATGCTGTGGAACTGAGTTGAAGAAGCCAACAAGGTCGTCGTTGGTGGCGTGTAGGGGAATGTGCGGTGGGGTCTCGGTGAGGTAGCAGTGAAAGTGGGACCACAGTTGTGGAATGGAAAATTGGCCTGGATGCTGAGGAAGGAGGCGCTGTAGGATGATGTCAAGGGCTCGGCTGGTAATGCGGAGGAGGTTGCCGCTCAATGATTGGAAGTATGAGATAATGGTGCGGCCTTTGCTCCACTGCTTTTTCTCCTTGAGGTGTACAATGCCGTAGGGAATTGTGAAGTCTTTTCTGAAGCCCCATCTGTAGCGTGTGCGGAGGCTGGGGGGGGATAGTGTGTGTCAGGTGTTCGTGAATGTTGGACAATTGGAGTGTTGGCATGGGAGCAAAGAGTTCCGGCGACTGCCAAGTAGCCAGCGCCCCGCTTAAGTATTGGCGGGGGCAAAAGATGCGTAACTGCTGCTTCGTGATCAGCATGGTGAAGGACGACTTGGTCACCCAGGAATTCCTGGAGTTGCCGGAGAAGGCGGGCTGTGAATCGGGGTTGGTGTTTCAAATGGTCTGTATGGAGCCGCCATTGGTGCTGGAGGAAGGGTTCCAAATGCTGTTTGAGAGAGGGTGGAAGGCCTTGAACGCGCAGCCATTTTGTGAAGGCCGTCTGGAATGCAAGGAAGTACCTGGCCTTGCTGGGATAAAAGGCGCTGTTCATGTTGGCTGCCAAGAATATGCGGAGGTGTGGTGGTAGTGCGAGTTGTTCAAGGGTGAGGATGTAGTGGTCGCCGATTGTGGGTGCGGCTGGATCAAGGAGAATGGTTTTGAGGTGGGTGCATGCGCATGGCAGGTCACTGGATGTCGGAGGGTTTGAAAGCATACCCTCCCAGGTGCGGTGATTGTGGAGGTGGGCCCGGAGAGTCTTTGGGCTGCTTCCCGCAAACGGTGAGTAGGCAGGTGGAGCGGGATGGCCAGGTGCTTGTGGTGCTGTATTGTGGTCTTCAGCCACTGCTCACAGTGTTTGGGAAATTGCTCGTGGGCCAAGAATGGTACGGTGAGAGGGATGTTGGGCTTGGGTGGGCTGAGGTACTTCCAGGTCAGTATGCTTGCCGCTACGTAATTGTTTGGCTGCTTCAAAGGATGCCCGTGTGTGTTTGGTGAGATTGCGAAGAAGAGTGAGAGAGTGTAGTCGTGTGGAGGTAAAGAGATGTGGTTCATGAATGGCGCGCTGCCGTCTGCGGAGCTTTCGGAAAAGTCGCTTGTGAGTTGCCAGGCGGGAATAGAAATGGGCTCGGTGATTAGTGAACTGCCAACCTTGAGCTTTGAGCTTGAGGTGGTGGGAGATGAAAGGCCAATTGAGTGGCGGCATCCAGTTGGAAATGAGGTAGTGTTCTTGGATCCAAGCTTGATCGTATGCGTCATGTGAAGAATGGTGGATATTGTTGTGGGAGTGCCAGTAGCGAAGGGAAAGTTCTGCAGAGATTGGAACATTGTTCTGCAGTTGTTTTAGTTTTGCCCGACGGTTGTGTTCTCTGTGTGGGATGCCGATGCCAGTAGAGCCAATATAAACGTGGCCGTGCTGATGGTAGCATCGTTGTGGGGTCGTGGGGTTGAAGTAGAGTTTGACATACACTGCATTGGAAGAGAGAAAGTTGTGATAGTGGTAAGTGTGAGGTTGGATTCGGAGGTGTTGAAGTCGTTGACGCCATTGCTGGGAACGTTGGGTAGAGGAAGGGTAGCAAAAAAGAAGTGTGAGGTGGATGAGGCCCACTGCAAAGAGGGCCTCGGCGCGTTCAATATATTGGCTGTAATGGATGAGAGTGGAAAGGGGTTGGTGTAAACGAAAGAGTTGGTGGAGTTGATTGTGGCGCGGCTGGTGTTGGCTGGTCAGGGCTAGTCAGCATTGCGATGGCAAGCTTGTTCACCCGAACCAGTGGGAGCCCGTAGCGGGTCGCGGCCTCCTTGAGCTGGTCAGTGGAAACTTTGCTAGTCTGGAGTAGACGCAAGATCTCCTGAGGGCGCGGTCCATGCTTCAGGGGCGTCGTCCTTGAGGGTGGGGTAGGACGGTTGAAGCACATCAGGAAGTGCTGGTGGTTGGTGGGGCGCAGGAGGGTCGGCTGGAGCAGAGGGAGCGCTTGGACGGCTGCTGTCTTTCTTGGGGGTAAGTTCTAGTCCATGTGCCTGGAGGAGTTTCTCCCGGGCGCGGGCAAGATCATCGGAGGTGGCTTTGAGCGCTCGGATGGCTGAGCCTTCGGCAACGGCGGGAGAGTGGGCCTGCATTTGGTCTGTCAAAAGTGTGATGAGGGGAGAGTGGAATGCTCGTGCTTGTGTGGTTTTGCTGGGGATGGTGGTACCGGCCTTGGTGCGCATGGCCTCGGCGATAGCGTCTAAGTCCAGCCGCTTATCGCGAATCTCCTGAAGGAGGTGTGTGGTAAAAACTGACTCGGCAACACTCCTGGTAGGAATGAGCCCGCAAAACTTGCCGTGGCTGAGTGTTCTGGCAGTGAAGTCTGCTGTCCCATGGTACGCAAGTAACCAAGGGAACACCTCAAAAGTCGGCAAGCCTGCGATCCCGACGTGTCGGGACCATTGGGTAGGCTGGATGCGACGGTGGAGTTGATGTCCGTGAATGGCATTGGAATCCCAACAGGTATCCGTGGAGTGCCAAGAGTCTTGGATGGTTGGAGTTGGAGATGGAACTGTGGGAGGAGGTGCCGGTGGAGCCGCGTGAGTGGGACTGTGCTTGAAAGACTTCTGTTGTGGTGTTGCTGGTGAGGCCGTAGGGAGCGGTGGCGGTGGCGGCGGTGGGAAGGAGGGAGAGGTGTTTGGCGGTGATGTGTTTGGCGGCGATGTGTGAGTTGGCGGTGATGTCGAAGGCGGTGGCGTGTAGGGGTGAGCCTGATGCTGTTGGTGCGTGCGAATGGAATGGCTCATGGGGCCATAGGCAGTTGTCGGCGTGTAGTGGGCGCTATCTGTGCCCGTGGCAAGCTGGTGCTGTTGCTGCTGGAGTAAGTAGTGGTTCCAGTAATACTGTTGCCACTGGGCGTCCATGATGGAGACAGGTAGAGGACGAAGATGATGGCGGGAAGCGGTCAGTTTTGAGCAAGAAAGCTGAAATGAAAGACCGAAGCAACCTGCAATGAACGTGGAGATCAAAAAACTGTACATTGAGTGAAAGACTGTAGCTTGATTAAACCATGAAAGGTGGTATCTGCTGGACTGAAATGAGGATTTAGTAGATCAAATAGGTACAGTGGAAGCAACCGCAAGTAGCAACAAACCATGACGATATCACGGTCACATTGAAAGTGCGCCATGTTCTGGAGGGCAGCTGCTGATTTTTCGTGGTGCGAGTGAAACAGCTGGTGTTGGTGGAGGATCGGTAAGGCCACAAGTAGAGAAGACAAGTGATATTGAATAAATTGGAAAACAGTTGTTATGAGAACCTGGTAAGTGGCCAAAAGGAGCTCTCACTATGGCTGCTCGTCGGCGCCGTAGTTATTCCATGGGTCGTTCGCTGGGTCATAGTTCTCAGCATGGAGCGGCACGTGACCTCGTTGCTGCTGGGGATCGGGGTTGTTGTAGATGAGGTGCT